ATAAATTTACTAAGATGCTTATCACTTGTTTTCATATGCCGAGCCAAAATGTTTAACATCAAATAATATAATATAGTTATCGATAAATAATACATTACAGACTTGAAATAAGGTTTTGACTTAAAAGTAGTTATCTTAATTTTGTGAAATGTAATTATAAATTACTAATGAGCTTCAATTTTATTATACCAACACTATTAATTGACAAATTAGTTTGTACATATTCTTATCATTATTCTTTGTATTGATAAAAGTAAATAAATAAAAACAAAAGGAGGAAAATCTTTTGTTGTTGTCAAACGATATATTTTCACATTAAAGTTAAGAGATCATTGTTTGTTGTTAAATATTAAAAATTATAATTATCAACTTGTAGTCTTACGTGTTAATTAATTTTCTCTCCCTTGCTCACACACGTATATGCATATATTTGGATTATTTATCGTTGATCCTAATCTTAATTACTTAATCGTCATTAGAATTATTAGAAAAATATTTCTAATCAAAGATCTTTTGTGAAAAATTATTATGATGCATTGAGCATTAAGCAATGCCTAAAAAAAAAAAGAACGAATAAATAAATATATGCATGCATTGAAATGAATACACGCACACGCACACACAAAAAAAAAACCAAATAATATCGAGAAACACGTGCGAATCGTTGATAAGGTAGCTCATGATCTTTCTTCATCGTTGTCGCATCAATTGAAAAGAAAAAAAAACGAAAAAAAAAACGTTTTCTCATTCGGAAGTAATGATTTGTAAGGGGCGCCCAAATGCCAAGATATGCTTTATCAGCCAATCGATAATCGCCTCCCGCAACCCGGAGAGAAGCGTTCCCCCGATTACGATACGTCACCGGCTCGTGCCAAAAAGTCATCTCTTAAAGTGGCGCCCTTGGCTCGTCGGTGCTGACGAAGAAGAACGGCCGCGACAAGGGAATCACGGATGTCGCTCGTACGTGCCGCGACAATATTCGCGAAAGTCCAGGCACTTGGCGCGCCCACTCGCGATTATTTGGAAAAAAAAATACAGCCCCTCCAACCGAGTCCCAATCGAGTCTAAGAATAAAGTCGGCTTTTCACGGCCAACGTGGCAATAGCGCGCATTGCCGTCTAAATGTTATTAAGCGGCCGAGATCGGCCCGAGTGGACTTTAGAATGGGCTCGCGCCACGATATTATCCAATGTTCATTACAGGCAGAACGAAAAAATTAAGGGCGCCACGTGGAGTCATTCCGGAAATCGTCGTCCGTCCTTGTCCTTTATTGCTGATATAAGCCCGAGCGATAGGCCAGGATCGTTAGCTATTTTGACGTGCTGCTGTGCATTTGATCTCAGATAGCGCGAGTGGCGGCCCAGATAGAGCGAACGGTTATCGTTTTGGAAAAATATTGAGCAGCCGATTGGAATAGAAAATACTTAGCATAATGTGCCGTCACGCTGCTTGAATTTTAAAACGTATTTAAGTATTTGTTTGGTTTTAAAAGCATTCGTTCGAGCATTCGTTCGAGCATTCGTTCGGGCATTCGATAATTTTATTCCCCCACCCCCTCACACCCATTGTAATAAATAATTCCGCGCTATTATTACGATCTGATAAATATGCGAGAAAGACTTTTAAAATACATTTATTAAGCCGAGATTAATCTGTAAACCTCAAATGAGATATTAAAATCAATCGGCTTAAACGGCCGAGCAATGTTTGAACGACTATAAATCTTTAAGCATTAATCAAGTAACAATTTCTTCAATTACCGTCTATTGACCAGAGAAAATTGAACAAGATTCATAAGCGCCATTGATTCATTTCGTGTCTGTAATTGAACTTTTTATCTCGATTTAATGCCGGGCTATAAATATAAAAATTGCATTGTTGATAAGTCACAATATATTTGATAGTTAGTTTGAGGAACATGGATTAATCATAATTGTTAATCAATTGTACGATCGACGAGGCTAAAAATACACGCTACCAAAAGAAAAAGAACAAAAAAGAAAAAGGAGTAAAAAAATTTTAATCGTCGCTACAAGATGATAAATGTTGATATTGTTGAAATGCTAAGTAGCTTAAAACAAGTTACAAATTTCCATCCAAAAACCATCTTATTTATTCCTTTAATAAAAAACATTGTTTGACTTAACTTAATTTATTTCAATGTAATGCATAGTTAATACGGTGATTAGCATTTTTATTTTAACATATAATTAATTTGAATATAAAAATCATTTTAAAATGCACTGATGCAATCAATAAGTATTTCAAGTTAAATTTTATCATTAAATTTAGCAAATAGTACATAGTATTATAGTATGATAGATAAGGAAAGTTGTAATAGAGACATTTTTGTTTTCTGTAATAAATAAGAAGTCGGAAATTTTTCGTATCACCTTTAAATCTTTAAATCTTTAAATCTTTAATGCCACATCTAGGAACACAGCAATATGGCAAAGATTTATTAAACATTAACATGCATGTCAGTTTTATAACTCGTGATGTATTAAAAAACTGCAAAATATTATTCGATTGATAAATTGAATGACTTGGGAATAAAATTCGTCGTTGCAATTAATTCAAACAATTTAATGCGATTCAATATTTGTAAAACCATAATATAGCGTAAGGGCTCGCAATTGATAATAATTTTCTCATTCGTTCGTAATGACCGTATTTTGAAGAAAAACAAAACAAAACAAAACAAAACAAAAAACATTTGATACAAATAATAACAAACAAGTAATAAAATAATTAGTAGTTTAAAATTAAAATGATTATTATTCTATTCATTATTGATTGGATCTATTTGCAACATTATACTTCAATCTCTATCGATGTATTGGAGAAGTTGCATATCTCATAATTCAAATATCCTGAAAAAATTATATGGATATAGAATTATTAGAAGATATTTTAAATTTGAATTGCATCGGGAAACGACTAATATCCATAAAGGCGCCAACAAGCCCAGACTTTTCTTATTCAATGAAATTTCCATTTATTTACAAGAGTACTTATCAATTATAAACGAAGCTGTAAAATTATCAAAGATTTTGTCAGATTCCTTTTTTATTATCACGTTTTATACACACAAGACTTGTCTCCGTAGTCAGAAAATAGAAATTGCATTGTCGAGCATACACTTTATTAACTATCATGACGTTTCATTGAATTAACTATGTTTAAAGGTATATGTTGATATACTTGCGCACACACGCGCGCGCACACACAAGCACACACCCTTCCCGCCCCACGCCCCAAGTAGTAAACAATAACGGCACTGAAAACACGAGCATGTTTATGTAGTGAATTAGCGGAGGTGCGCGATAATCGAGGAAAGCTAATTAATGAAATGGAGACTTCAATGTCGCCCCAAAGTGCGCTAAAACGTGTTTGCTCACATTTAATTCACTTTCAATTGAAGTACTATGTCGAATGCGATGAAAATACTTGAAAAATCATCTAGATGCACGACATCCTTCGATATTTTTTTTTTTTTTTTTTAAAGAATATTAGATATTTGAAGTTGTAATTCGTCAACGTAATAACGTTGGTTTGATTTTAGATAATTTTTTTTTTATTATTATTTATATATATATATATATATATATATATATATATATATATATATATATATATATATATGGAAACAGCATGTTTCTCTTCTCTGTTTTTTTCATTTTTATAAATTGTGTAAAATCACAAATGCATTTATATCTGTTCGCGTGAATGAGTTTAGATTTCTATCGGTTCGTGAATTTGACAAGTGTCGGCCAAGACTTGAATTCAATAATAGTTACAGCGATAATATCGGTATATCAATTATCGTTATCGCTATTCTTACGGATTAGATGGAAAATAAAGAGGTGCGATAAATCAAAATCCGTAGTCTATAAAAATCTTGGTTATGAATTTTTAGATTATTCTCGTTAACGAATACTGCATATTGTCGGTAAAAACTAAAAACAAAAACAAAAAACAAAAAAAAATAATGAAAAGAAAAAAAGAAAAGAAAATTTACAAGCCCGTGTAACTTGGAGCGTCTGCGATAAAACTGATATTGAAGTTTAATAATATATGCTTGTCATAAGTGGACCATATTGAGTCACAGACCTAATAACGATCCGTGTAAACTATAAAATAACGATTGTAGTGGTGGTAAGAACGATAGCGATGAAGGCTTCTCCTCGTACAACTTATTTTGTTGAGCACTAAAAGCATGGAGAACTTATATCGCTTATAAGTGAATTAGTAAGCATTCACAAACTATAGATTTAAACACGATAAGATTTTTACGTCGGTCATTCGATTTCTAGCATTCCCTGAAGTTTATTTTTCTCTTTCTTTCGTTCTTTCTCCCTTCTCTCCCCCGTCCCTCGCGCACTTTTTTTTTTCTAATTCTCTCTCTCTCTCTCTCTCTCTCTCTCTCTCTCTCTCTCTCTCTCCACTCGCACTCTCACACTCTCTCCGTTCTCTTTTATAACCACGAGGTGAGTAACAAAGGCAGCGGAGCAATTGAAAATATTTATAAAAACGAAAACAAGGGAACAATCATTGCGCTCGGGGTTTTGGTTATCCGCTGCAATACTATGTAAGTAGCGCGACGTTATCGGGGAACAATTATTAAACGCCAGCCTCGTGCCAGTACATGCGGCTTAGTTGACATTTGCTTTAATTGCAAAAGCCAATAAGTAGCCGCGTTGGGCCGTTTATTATCAAACTGTTTTCATAAGCATAAAAGACAATATTGCAAGGGAGATACACAGGAGGCGCATCGCGCGACTCGTACGGGACTCGCGAGGGCTAATAATCGGCCCTCGGTGATTGATGTGGACTTACGCAACCTACGGCGCCGCGTTATTCGACAAAACCGTCGGTCCTGCGTAAGCCTATTTTCAGTCTTGGGCCACCGACTCACTCGGCAAAAACTTGGCGACGAAAAAATGTAAACGCAGACTGGCTAGTGTGAGCGGGGACACCGAGAGACCGCGAGGACGCACCTCTGCACGCGCTTGGTTATCCTGGCGACTGTATGAGCTGATGTCCAGGTGGGCTCGTGGTCAGCTATCCATGGAGCCGGTGTCTACTTCCGATCCTCGCGTTCCTCTCCTCGCGGCACTCGCACGTTAAGCGCTCGACTTTGGCGGCGGTTACGGCGCGACTGACTAGCCACTGCTCGTGTCGTGCCCGACTCTGCCGCTTCTCCTCTCCCTCCGCGCGAGCGACAGTTCGAGACAGAGAAGGAGAAAGAGAGAGAGAGAGAGAGAGAGAGAGAGAGAGAGAGAGAGAGAGAGAGGACGAGATAGCACGTGCAGCAGCGGTGCCGATGCTCTCGGGGAGTTTCGCTCACCTTGGCGGCACCGCGAAGCCGAGCGCGAACGACGACCGCAGGGTATCGAGGTCGAGGATTACCGACCACCGGTAATTCAGCACCAGAGGATGTGGGAACACGACGACGTGTTGGCCCATTACGCGGGACAACATCTGTTGCGCACGACTTCCCGGTCTTCTGGATAAAGGCCGTTTTTTCTCAAACCCTAGGGACACTTTTTTGTTGCGAATAGCACTTGAAAATCTGCTTTGTCCGGACATCGTAGACCAGTTGGACGCATCTGCTTCTTCTTTTTTATTTATTTCTTTTCAAGCTATTTCGAGGCGTCATTTTGCATTACTTTTACACTCCAATCGTGTACGGCTTTGTCAATTACAAGGGGGAAGATAAAGTTTCGAGAAAATTTCAATCGTACGCTTGACGATCGTTCTTCGTCTCTTTAATCTAAAATCTAGTTGAATTATCCTTAATGCCATTGTCATATTATTCAATTGTATTTTGATGATTGTGCTCGAAGCATGAAAGAAAGAGAGGGTGGGGGGTGGGGGGGGAAGAAATTTCTTAAAAATTATATCATTTCGTATATTGTTAATAGGAATTCAATTCGTGTTTTTATTTTACTTAAAATGTTGCGTTAATATTTCGTAGCTCGATTGGCATTTTTCATTCTTTAAAGTTTGAATGAGAATGAAAAATTTTTTAAACGTGTGGTAAGAAATCGAAGTCGTTAAAAGATAATTTACATAATAAAAATTTATAGAAAGAGCTATCGAAGAATAAAGCTTACGTTAAGATCCTTTAAAAAAAAAAAAACAATACTTTCTCTCTCATATTATCTATGTATTTATCAATCAATGGATTTACTTTGTTCTATTTATAATATACTGATTAGTATTAATAGAATTAGTATTAATAATTAAAAATTAGTATTAATAAATTAAAAATAGCAGATTGCTTATTAAATTTAATGGGGACATTTCAATATCGAATTGCCAAAAAATTGCTTAAGATGAAATGTCTCTTGATTTACTATTTATTATTTCAATTTGACAATCATATTTCCAATGATAAGCACATAATCTAATATTACGAATTTGCTTATTGGGCTTGTAAACTTAAACTAAAAAATGCAAATTAAATTTGAATTGTGATTTTACTATTCTTACCTCATATAATGAAATGCTTAAGTATCAACTTGAAAATAATAGAATAAAAAGCAATTGTAAAGTAAACAGGTTCGAAATGAAAATCTTATTCAGCTAATGCAAATTTATGTTGATCGTTGACATTCATGTCCAAAAGACTTTAATGGAATTGAAAAGTTTCTGTTACGACTTAAATTCTTCAATATGAGAAATCTTTATTTGATCGTTGGTTTTATTTGATGTGACGTAATTCATAAGACAAATTTTTTGTGGAATTAAACTATCAGTTTTTTGAAAGGTTTAATAATATCCGAGCTGCGAAAATTCAAATAAAAATATTACTTTAAACCGTTAAATACTTTTCGCCTACTTTATTACGTGGCATTAGAAATATGTAATTGTTAATATTAAACAAACTTTTTTTTCCTATTGAAGTAAATGATAAAAACACATAAGCATCTTATTACGAAATCATCGCAATTAAGAGAATATACAAATAATAGCACAAAGAAGGTAAAAATAAATTTCTACTACTACATACAGAAGTATATTTATTTAATGAAAAATTATCAGTTCCGTATGTTTTTAAACTACTCAAATATCTAAATAAAGTAATTTATTTAAATTTATACTATGTATAGCTGAGCACTCGAGTACATTCACATACATATAATTGGAAGAAAAAAAAACTATTGATATATATATATATATATATATATATATATATATATATATATATATATATATTTGTATAAAAAATCGTTTTATAACAATAGTGTCGATAACCCTTTAAAATTGTCAACTATGTTTGACTGTGAAAGATAAGGGAAACGCTATTTATTCGTAATTTTAATTATCGTATTAATTATAGATATATGCTAGGAATAACATAGCAAAGGTATAAAAGAATTTTCCACTTTATTGGAGTAAACTTCTTTGAAAATTACTTTTTTTTTTAATACAATATTTTATTCTTTATGCTATGAATGCATAGCTTATAAGTTAAAATTTAATTTTACTTACTATCACAAAAGCATATAATAAATCATTACTTTTAACGAAATACTTATATTATTTTAACTCCTTAATACTGTAGTAAATTTGCTTTTGAAACATCGGAATACTCGCTCATGTTTCCTAGCAATAACATTATAGTCTACATTACCCAATTATCATACTAAACTCAATTCATATTCTTTGTTAAAGAATCTGTTATATATTTCTTAGGCCACTCGAGTCCACATAAACAATAAATTTAATTTCTCAAAAAGTCCATTAATTCAATTAATTATCAAAAATGTGTATTAATTAATGGTAAATAGGCGCTCCCTAACTTCCTTTCGGGATGATCAGTTATTGATAAAATGTTAACTTGTAGATGTAGTTATTTGCTGGCCCCACCTAAAGATTTCCAATTCCAATGTCCAAGTTCATTAAATCCAAATATTCGAGGTATTTTATAAACGTATTGCTTGGGCAAGAAAAACATTAAATTGATTAAAAATGAACGACTGTCGTTTAATAAAATTGAAAAATAAATTCTTCGCGGATTCTGCTTAACTTAAATGATAAAAATCTTCTATTAATCTGTGTTATTGTAAAACGACACCCGTGAACTCCATACGAGTTTCATAATCAATAACGATGAACAGTGATTGGTTGCCAGATTAAAAACAGCCTTCTACAATTACCCCTTTCACGTATTTTGACACTTTGTAGGGATTATCAGAGGCGAGTTTAATTACTTCAATTGAGTTCGTGCGCTATTGACTATATGGCAAAGGGGAAGCGTTATATCGTAAAAGTACCAGCACTAGGAAGTCGAGTTCCGAATAAAGTCACAACTCGACGACATCCGTACTTAAGCAAATCAATCGCGGATCCTGGGCTTAGCAAAAATAATACCAACCAATCGCTATCTCGCGCTTATATATGCCAATTATTGGGACTATTTTCGTCAAGTTTGCGGGCTTCGTGTGACGCTGTGCGCGGCTTTCATCGATGCGCATTACGAAATCACTACTACGAGTCAGGACAAGATGCTTGATTGACGGTAATCACGAAGTTTATCCAAATATAATAAAGCGAGCTATCGACATTCGATTTAACAAGCAAGTGCATTAAATGTATATATATATTAGATAAAATGGAAACCGTCGATCTAGACAAATTGCCTTTGTTTAAATGGGGATGAGCTTAAATTGCCCGTGGCAAATAAAAAAGTAAGATTCAAAAGTAATTGAAAGAAGTATTGTATTACCTACTTTTATTATTTCTTTTATCCACTGTAATATGTAGCGGTCTCCGTCACACTTTTAAGCATTTTTATCCTTACGCATATCAATTATGTGGAGGGCAGCGCCTACCTTATGTACTCGTGTATTTGCACGTAAAATACATGCATCGCCGATTATCTAATAAGCAAATCCCCCATTCGATAATAAATCATTTATTTTACGTAAAACGTGGCCGATTATAATTATATTATTATTATGAAATAAAAGTGATGATGTATCAAATCTGAACGTCAACGTGCTTCACGCCAAGAACGATTCAAAGAAAGTATTGCGCTTAAAGACTCAAGCTTCTTTCTAAGAAGAGCCACATTGTATATAAAATTTCATATCTACTTTTGTTACGTGTTCTTGCATTATCGGTAAAATCTATGGAACTTCTGCAATACTCTTCTTGTATATTTAGAATATAGTTTAAAAAATAAATTTACGAACGAATCTCACTTCACTTTATTATTTCCAATGCCTACTTTTATAAACAAAATTTTATTCAAGCTCAGATGTCAATGTATATTTAATCATCTACATTAATGCAATTTCCGACCTGTTGGAAAAGCCATATTAATTTCATTCGGTCAATTCACTTTCACGCCGATAATCGACTATTTTAATAAGTAAATCAGATGGGTCGATTAGAAAGGCCTGTGGTGAAGAAGAAAAGTACGATCTTTCTTTGCATTCATGCTCGATGCGGCGAACGGATAGCAATTAATTATTGCACGAAAAATATAATATAAAAGTAAAATTACAAACTTTAATTGTAGAATAATATTTTTGACTGCTAGATGTGGCGACATATAAATAGAGAAGTACATTGCGACAATGCTCATATATATATACATAAACTGGTTAATTTTATTTAAATATCTTATTCAAATAATTTCACATCTCCTTTGATGTACTATTATTTAAACGTATAATATTTATGCAATCGAAGCCAAAATGTCATAATAAAAATACGGTTAAAGCGTTGCATTAATTATACATGATTAAACTTGGCAAGATTCTAAAAATATATCCTAATAAAAAGTTGTAAAATTTATAAAATTTAAATCAAATCATTGCTTTGTATTTGATCGATAAATCACAATTGTGAATGAAATTTTTACGCATACATATATATCTTAAAATTATGAATCACGAATGAATGTAAACACATTGACAATTAATCATGGAAACGGATTCTTCTATGTTACGATTATACAATTACGTTACAATCGCTTATTTAATAATATGCTTTTTAAATTCGTTCCTTGCAACATACAAATTAGACGAGCACAAAAAGATTATCAATTTCTTCTGTGATTCTCAGCGTATAAAATTATTGCAGGTCAAACTATTTTCATAAAATTTACAATTTCATTGCCCTACTA